TTAAAATAACTGATCCAAGTGCGACTTTTGAATAAGTGCGACATTACTGTAATTATTGAACAATATAGTTCATGCCACTTTGACAAAAAATTTACCAGTAAAAAATTCGCTTATCACCATATTTGTACATGAACGCACAACTGTAAAATTTAAAATCAAACTCAGCGTTGCTACTGCACGCTCCAAAAACAATAACTCATTTCCAATAGCATTTTTGGATACAACAATATATTTTTCGTTGTCCTCTTATTACTGAGAGAAAAAACAAGAACAAATATCTATTCCATACCTGAAGATGTCTGTGGAACAGACGAAAGCTTGTAGTAAAATAAGAACTAATGCAACAGAAATTTATATAAACAAGGATCTTTTCATTCATAACAAGTTCGGAGGTTTTTGTATATTATTTGAATTGTTTGCGACGATGGATTTCTCGCCAATTAAATCATTAACCTTTGTATTTGTTTTGTATGAATAATTCATGAATCTCATTCATATATATATATATATATATATATATATATATATATTATATATATAATGTTGAGCAAAATGGAAAGTCATGGTTGTCGGGCCTCTGTAAGGCTTGGATATATCAACATACCATTTTGCCAAAGACTTTGTGACCCTTGACGCAATATGAAGTGACGCTAACAACAATTATAACTATGTCGAAGAAAATTAGTGATTATATGAGAAGATGGCTTGGCTGAACAAGGATTTTGAGCAGAGCAGCATTTTATGGAGTCTCGAACGCATTACAATTCCCATTTGAAGAATTTAAAGTAGCAAGGATAATGAAGGGGGTTCTGTATTGAATTCAAAATATCCTAAAGTAGAAAACTCAGAAAATGTAACTCGATCAGGGATAAAATTGAAAGCATCACATGAACTGAGTATAGCAGAGCAAATATTAAGACAAAGGTTCTCGAAGGAACAGTGGCAGCGGATCAATCTGGCGTAGACTACCGCCCCAATCCCTGAGGCAGACATAAGAAGGGAAACATCAGAAACACTGTTTCCAATATGAAGTGAAAGCAGAAGTGGAGGAAACTAGAGCCAGCGAAAAAGCCAGCAAGAGACCTGGACAAATAGATAAAACAGTGAAAAAGGAAGCTTTCCTGGTTGGATCTCTGGCATACCAATCACAGAAATATAAATTTCCATGTGCAGGCAGTACACGGCATTTTATCTAGCCCACTTTCACACGTGGAGAAAGATTGAGTTTCTACCTTGTCCGTTGTGTCTGAATAAAGGATCCCTTCAACATGTATTGAGCGGTTGCTCCAAGGCAGTCAGTGAGAGGCGTTACCGGTGGTGCTATGATAAAGTATAACGGGCAATAGTTTCGAGGTGGCTTCAAACAAATAGGTATGAACCTAAAAAGAAGCTGATTAATTTGTAGTTCTGCCCAGACTGACAAATGAAAGCAGAATGTAGAGAGTTAAAATTCCCATAACAAATAATACAGACACAGTTACGTCCGGGGATGATTACTTATTCAGATAAAACCAAGCAAGTTGCCATATTAATAGAGAGACAATAAAGACAAGCCCAACGAAAGGAAAACTTGGGAAACATTTTCAAATTACAGAGGAATGCAAAATGTTGTTGGCAGGCTCAGTAGGAAACAAATGAAACTAGTTGAAATTGGGTAGTTACTTTGAAAAATTAGGAGTATGGGCTTAGAAAAAACCCAATGCTAAACGCACAAAATCAATGGGAGCAGAAAAGGCCTCTAGGTGATTAATGCTTAAACAACGAGTGAGTAGCAGATGACAAATTTGAGCGGGAACTTTAATGTTGAGGGTTCAGGATTGTTTTTTTTTTTTTTTTTTTGGTTTGGGAGATTAGAAAGTCTATCTTGTGTATGACCTGAAACTACATCTGACAATGTCGGCTTGATAAGGGAACAGAATTAGGGTACCCGAACCATTGTTATCATCAGGTGATTTTGGGCTGCTAAGATTTTGTACCTGTTTGTCCCTTCACCATGTTACGTTATATATATATATATATATATATATATATATATATATATATATATATATATATATATATATATATATATTGCGTTGCGTATATATATATATATATATATTCATATATATATATGGACTCTTCCGTCGAATTAAACGTATGAGGTCAAACATAAATATTTATATCGTTCAATATTGAGACCTGGTTGCGTATTTTAATGTTTCCTTCTCCTAAAATTGCCATTTTCTGCCCCTGCTATTTACCCATGTTTACCTTTCCAAGGGCATTAGCACGTTTTTGCAACCCCTCTGCAATTCCTCATATATATATATATATATATATATATATATATATATATATATATATATATATATATCTCGACCTCGTCATTTCCTTGACTTTTGAATTAAAATGTACATGATCCGGTCAAACAGTCGATCAGTTTTTCTGCGAGGAGAACCTGAAGACCCGAATGAACCAAGGGCGGAGCCCTTCAGACAACATTTATACGGGTTCAATGGGCATGAGCCCATTTGATTAAAAGTTGTGCCATATCGTTTCTGATAGGATATTTGTACGAAAATGAACTGTCCAACGAACTCGAGCGTCCATGTCTTCCTTCATGTCTTGAACTCGGGCTCCTGCCTTGAATTATTTTCTCCGTCAGAGCCAGAAGAGGTTTTTTTCATTTTGAAAGTGTTATGTAAACGGTTTGAAGCGAAAAAATAATTCATCACCCACATGAAAAAAATCTGAATTGGATTTTTTTTTTAAATCTGCATGTATGCACTAAAGGTGGAAAAAAGTCTCCTTTGTAGAGGCTGTGTGCCATTCTGAAATTTAATTGAACGGAATCGTTGAGATAAAACAAGACGATAGTTGGACCATTGTCGTGGATCATTCAGATAAAAGAATTACCGAAGCGGACAATTAATTTCAAAATATATGAATATAGAAAATATGCTGAAGATTGAACATAGATCTATATTTATAACAGGGCGATTTTTTTTTTCAGGTTTTCCTTCTTCTAACACAAAACAGTCAGCAAAAAGACAATATGCAACCCCAGTTTTGGGGATTAAGTGTTTACTATTGGTATCCCTAAGGAAACCGCAGGTCAACTAAAAACAATAGTATGTGGGTGTCTTGTTGCTAGACTACTAACCACTGTTACTGAAAAGTGAATTCCACGACGACGATTTTGTTTAGCGGCATATCAACTCTTTATGGGTCATTTAATGTCGAAATTTAATTTTCATTGAATGAAAGAAAAGAATTTTTTTTTCTGCATGTATGCATTGGTGAAAAGTCAAAATTTATTGAACGGAACGGCAATATTGGACCGTTGTTTTTAATTTCAAAAATATAATTGAACGATGGTATTTCTTACTACAAAAAATGTATTCTAAAATTGCTTTTACTATTACTGTTTAATTCCTTTTGTTTAGCGGCATTTGGGTCATTTAATGTCCCCTTTACCCTATATATATATATATATATATATATATATATATATATATATATATATATATATATATATATATATATATATATATATATATATAATATAAATTTTGGATTTTGGTACAAAACCGTAATATTGCAAGGAATAGATACAAATAATTTCCTAAAGGCATTATGAAAATAAAAATAAGAGATGATAAAACTTACAGAACAGACCAACTGGTTTCGTTCCCAAAGCTCATCAGGGTCGACTGGGAACAATTTAACAATTATTGCAATATATATTGACTCAAACAAACACCCTACATACAATTAAAACATTAAAAAATGAAATGATTAATGGTATGAGGAAAAAAAAAAAATATATATATATATATATTTCAAACCGTGCGAATATGCACAGCACAAAGGGGAAAAGAAAAAAAAAATTATAACGGGGAATGTGAGGGGAATGTATGATAGACACTAGAGTCTAATAACGTGAAGCCCAAGGAGAGAAATCTCTTTGCTTGCAAAGAGACGGCTCCCTGGACCGAATATATAGAGACTCGAGTGCCCTCAAATGAAATGGAGAGTGCGATTTATATATATATATATATATATATATATATATATACTCGACTCTCCCGTCGAATTAAACGTATAAGGGTCAAACAGATCAGTTCTCAGGAAACCAACAGCCCGACAACAGCACATGAGATTTGATTAAAGGGGTGAAGGTTTCGTGCAGGGCCGAATACAGAGACCTAAGTGCTACAAAGTCCCCAAACGGCCCTCCGCAGGTTTTGAATTCAGAGTTGTCCTTCTCCTAGACCTGTTGCCATCCAAGGCTATAGAACCCAGTCTGTCCTGCTATTTACCCATAGATGGAGGGAGAAGAAGAGGATTGACAACTTTTCCAAGGTTATTAGCACGTATTTTGACCCCAGTTTTGGGGATTAAGTATTTACCCGTAGTTGGTATCCTAACAGGTACTGCCACCGCGGGTCAGGGTGGACCTGGGAACAGTAATTAAGAGATGATTCCACGATCACCAAGACTTCCCGATCAGAACCCTTGCTGCCGGATGTAGTTTATTGTCATACCCAGGACACAGTGAGTTCGATCTACACTATGTGTCTGTATCAGTATGCCTGTGCTAAAATTAACTTAAGCCTAGTTAATATTATTTGCGTAACATACGCATGGAGTAATAACGAGTTAGTTTAGTTTACCACTCGTCATGAGTAGTGAATTCGATCATCATTGGGTGTCCCATACTTGCAGTCTCGTGTCAAAACTAAGGTACGCTTCGTAAATAGCATTGTGGCAACCTAGGCATGTCATAATGGTTAGCATGGCATAATATTTATTTGATTTTTACGGCTTATAAAACTTTTGTAGGTTATGTAAAGCCAGAAAATAAGTTTAGGATACTAGTCCTGACAATTAACCCATAGCTGGGGGCGAGCAGGTGGATTCATAATTTTGGCATGTAAGTGAATATAACGAACTCGACTGGAATTAGAACTCAGCTCCACGATCTCCAACTCCAAGCTGTTATCCATTACACCAAGCTTACAGCACCTGGTATTCACAATCGAGCACACACCTCGGTACTGACCAGGCTCGATGTTGCTTAACTTCGATGATCGTACAAATACCAGTGTTTCAACGTGATATGGCCGTAAGCCTCCGTAGCATGAGACCTGCTTGAACTGTAGTTTGCTTCACTGAAGTTTAATGCAGCATGAGTCACCGTCCAATGCCCAGGAAACTCGATGGACTGATATGAATGTTACTACGCCAGAAGACGATCGAAGACTTTGAACATTTTATTAGAATGTCTACTATCCGCTAGCATTGAACCGAGGTTAAAATCGACCTCGATCATCAGAGTGTTGCAACTTTATTTTTTGTTTATGTATACGTTGTCATTATTTGGTAACGACCTGATGATATAACAGGAATAAATGCAAAATTGACAAGTGATGCTTGACTTGTATATTCACTTAGGTGGAAAGAGGTTTCCAACATGGCCGTCAGGAGGCTTCACATGATGAACGAAATGGCAATAATAATAATAATAATAATAATAATAGACCCGGTTACAGTGATAAGACCTGTAACAATTTTGTGGGATTTTACAATACATAAAGATAGAACGATCAAAGCTAATCACCCAGACATCGTGGTCAAAGGTCACAAGAACAGAATGTACCTTCTCATTGACATGGCAAGTCCCAGAAGATTGTAAGGTAACTTTGAAGATCATAAAACTATCAAAATACAATGATCTTGAAATGAAAATCTAAAAAATGTGACACATGAGGACATCAATAGTTTTAGTTGTAGTTGGAGCCCTCGGATTGATTGGAAACGGGTCCAATAGACTCATTGAAGGGAATTTCCGGTAGCTCATGCCTTAAAGAAATACAAAAAATTGTACTCACAAGTACACCTCACACATCATGAACAGCTTTATCTATGTAAAATGTGTGCGATCTTTGTTTTTTTTTTTTGTTTACAAAAATGCTCAGTGGAAAATGTAGTGAAGCTATTTCTGACCTTAGGTCTCTTGTTTGGACCCGGTAGAAAATGTATATAGAACAGAAATCAAAGAAAAATAAATAAGTGAAGACTATGGTGGTAATTATCGCCAAAATTACAGGATAAAACAAAAGATATACATTGACATTCGTGTAAATGTTGCACGCACGCACACACACACACGCATTCGAGGAGGGGTGCTGAAAAAGTTCTATTTTTTGCACTCCCTAAAATCTGACCAATAGACCAAAATACCAATATTATCGAGCTGAGATTTTTCCAGTAACACTCTATATATATATCCTAGAGCGCGTATTTAATAGTCACGTGGCTTAGTGGTAATAACGTTCGCTTTTCATAAAAGCTGGGTTCGAATCTCACCATAGTCGATTTGTCAGGAAGGTGGTTTCTTGATGTTATTGGCCTGGGGAGGCGATCCCAGCGGGCAGCACCTTTGGAAAGTGCCCGAAAACCATATCACATGTGAGTGAAATTGGGTAGACGGAACTACTTGAGGCCCGTCGGTAGTTGAGCTCTCGTGAAGTCGCAAGTCATCATGACCGAGTTTTTAAGTGCACTGGCCTTGTTCATGCTCTTGATCACGCCAGATAATGCACTCTCTCCCAGAAACTATAACTAATATCCGCCCAGCATAGTTGCATATAAACCACAGGTAGGCGATGTGGATATTGAACAAGCTGGGCTGGCGTCTGCAATAGTGATTGGTTAGCCACTCTAGCAGACAGGCATACTTGAATACAAGCGGCCACCCATTACTGTATCCAGGAGCATGAATCTTCTTTGTAAACGTCGTCTTCGATAGCTGGGTCACGTACATCGAATGAAGGACGGCCTTATGAAAAAAAAAAAAAAGAAAAAAAAAAAAACACAGTCATATGCGCTGAGCTGGCCACGGGACACCGTCCGGTTGACTTGTGGAACCCTGTTTCAGAACTGCAGAAAAATTCTAATGGATTTAAGCTCAACACATCGAAAGTAACTAATTTTTTTTTGACAGGCTTCAAATACCTGAAGCTTTGTATTCATATATATTAACCAACCAGCAACGTCGAACGAGACGCACGGCATTCTTTGAATTAGCAGACAGATCTTAGATCTGAAATTTTGGAGGCTCAACTTCGGAATATGTTTAACAATATTTTTCTCCCTTAAAAGGAATATTTAAAAATATATATTAGCGAATAAGTTTGCGATCACTGAATCTAAATTTTTAGATTCATCGGAACCTACCTAGTTATTATAAATATGACCATTTTTTTTTTGTCCGTCACACAAGAATTTCACTTAACCTTTGACCAGGATGTTGTTATCACACAAACGAAACTGAAATTCTTACAAATAATTACTCATACCTTTCGCATATTTAAGTATATTACATTGCAAAATAAGACATTGATAATTTGTTTACATGCTTCAACAGTCGCTTGCTGTCATGCGACTGACTACCTTCTTTCATCCAGTCTACAACTAGAATTTATATACACAGTGAAAACAGTACATCTGCACATATAGACGCATTTTCCGTTTATCATATACGGACGCAAAAAAAAAATTAATATACAAAACATTTTGTGTGAAGTTGTTCACAATGCGTTTTTGCAATTCATTTCTTTCAACTTGAAAGAAAAATAATACTCCAATAAATAGAAATTATTAAAATTTGTAGATCCGTGTTTGAAGATTAATTTAATTCTTCGTTTATACACGCATATTCCGCGACAGACCGCCCTGCAGTTCATTTCAAGGACGTTTACAAGTTGGACCTGAAGCACACAGGCATCGACTCTCGTGATTGGGGGCAGCTAGCAGACGATCACAGCGGCTGGCACCATGCTGTTCGAGGGGGTGTCACAAAACCGGGAAAAGGAGAAACCAACAGTTGGAAATAAGAAGAGAACAAAGGAAGCAGAGAGAGCAACGTCAGACATTCATTCCACATTCTAGCTTCATCTGTCACACCTGCAGAGAGGAGTGCCTTGCAAAGATAGGTTTGTTAAGCTACTCCGAACGCTGCTCGCAAAAGGACAGTTTGACCAAAGAGGGCGCTACTATTATCTTGAAGATAAATTGATGCCGATTATATCATAAAAAATATAGTTTCAAGGTATGCTATATTTATGGGTAAGAGTGCTCAATATTAGGTACAGACCGTGTATGTATATGAGTGGAACCTGCAGTCAACACCGAGTGGTGACAGTCTGTTTCATGCTTGAACGTAATCTTCATAGCCTGAACATTGCGTCCAAAGGTTAAACAGACGGTGATTGCGAGAAAGTATATAAAAGGAATTGTTCTTTAGAAATCTGTCGGTAGTAAAATTAATTTGAAATTTTTTTTCTCAAAAGAGCCTTAATAATTTAATAATTTTGACTTTTGTTTAAACTGAAGGTTTAGTAATAATTGTTATGGTCCGGGTTAGGACCAAGGAAGAACAACACGAACACAAGAGTAGAAATATCGAAGGTATATTACACGAAATAATAATACAAGATGTGAAAGGTGTTAGTATGACTGTCAGTCTGGTTTGGAGTGAACTACTATCGAATCGACTCGATTCGGTATCTAGCCCTCACCCCCGCCACGAGGGTTGCATGCGGCACAAGGCCGAGTTTAACGTGGGTCTCCCGAGCCCGTAGGCTCGGCCAAAATATGCCCGTAGAACCCGTATAAACGGGATCGGGTTGGTCAACCTCCCGAACGAGACTCTGCCCTTCGGCGGAGCCTCGTCCGGTTCCTCTCTGCTCAGAGGCAGAGTTCGACCGGTAAGCCGAATCAAGCCGAAGCTCGGCTTGATTTATCGGTATTCAGCCCCCCCCACGAGGGTTGCATGGGCACAAGGCCGGCGGAACCTCGTTTATCGTGGGTTTTCCGAGCCCGTAGGCTCGGCCAAAAATTTTATCGCCCGTAAACCCGTATAAACGAGATCGGGTTGGTCATTTTCCTCGAACGTGATTCTGCCCTCGGCGGAACCTCGTCCGGGTTCCTTTCTGCTCCAAAGCAGAGAGTTCGACCGTCAAGTCGAAAAGATCGGCTTGATTCGACCCTCTCTCTTGAGCGGCGTAGTATACATAGTGTTAGGAAGAGTTCATTCTGCAGTTATAGGTAAGGACCCATGACAATAATATAATAAGTTTTTAATGAAATATAATACATTTATATTTTATTCCTAGTTACATAAGCGTTTTAGGAAATTCCGCATGACGACATATCTTTCAGCGAGTCATGTAACTTTCGATACTTGATTGACGAGGCAGATTTTTCCTGCAGTAGGTTGCCATTTCTTTCCGTGGTCGATCATTTGCCATCCAAGGCTATAGAACTCGGTCTGTCCTGCTACTTAGCCATAGCTGGAGGGGGAGAAGAAGAGGATTCATACCTTTCCCAAGGGTATTAGCACGTAAGTGAATGTAATGGATTCGACTGGAATTCGAACTTGGCTCTCCGATTCCTCAATCCGAGCCGCTATACATTACTCCAAATTTATATGAGCTAATATAGAAAAGAATGAAGGTTTCCAGTAATATTTACATGATATTTGGAATGCAGGTTGAGTCGAACAATCTTGGAAAGTGAGCGAATGACATTCTGACATAAGGTGAAAAGAGTGCATTCGACAACCACTGATCTGGCGACACGTAGTAGAACGTATTACTACACAACTACTTCTTCCCATTTCGTGTTTAATACGTTAGTGAAACGAGATTTTGAATGCAAAATTAGAAGTTGAATCAGAAGCGAGTAATAGTGTTTGCTGATGGATCAAAACCTTTGGGATTTAGTGACTGTTTTCAGTTTTGTGCGTATTATAGTTCTACGATGTCCTTAAGTCAATACTGACAACATAAATCTCTTTTTCTCCATTCTAATTGAACAGATGGCGAATCAATCTATTTTGGACGTCATTCATGTCTCAACATTCGTTAATGGCATCGTCTCATGGTGTAAAAATAAACGGAATTACATCCATTTGGGTGGTAAGAAGTTTACAATATGGCCGTCAATAACTCGGGTTTTGAAGAGGATTACAATGGAAATAATTAAAAAAGATTGTAGTTATTGTAATAGCGGTGGGTCTTAACGTCTGTGAAACATAATTTTACAGTTATATATATATATATAT